TCCTTATTTTTTTTTTAAAAAAAGCTGCTGAGTGGAGGACGACATCACTGTCACTAATATACAGCAGATATAAAAGGTAAGGGTATGGCCAAGCGCTCACGTTGAATACTCAGCTGCCCTTTTGTGTCGTGACAGCACATACTATAACAAACAAACAAAATGAAAAGGCAGGATAAATCCGCATATTTTCAGTTCGGTACACCTTAAGCCCACAGCAACTGGCCGTTCGCTAGCGGTCTACACTTCTGAAGACCAACAGCACGTGGGCGGCACCCTGTCGACAAGGGGCAGGGGCGAGGACACCGACGGGTTGACTAAGCCGTCATTAAAGCGGCAGGGAACGGAGGTGAGGTAGGGGGGATGGGGAATGTACACACATACTTCAGCATACTTCATGCATACTTCATGCATACTGCATACTTCAGCCGGCGTCAGTCACGAAAAGTCACGCCCGGCTGGCGGCTCCAGACGAGCCCATGCTCAGAAGCCGGGGGCGGCCCCATAGCCGGTGCTGCGTCATGTCCTGCCGGGCTGCACGAGCGCTGCGAAGCAGAAATTTGGCCGGCAAAATGTCGGCAGCGGCAGCGTCGTGACATCTCAGAGGAGGAAAGCTGCGTTTTGCTATTGTTCGGCCTCTGACGTCACATACCGGTCCGAGCCGGAATCGTACCTCGCCGGTCTTGGTGACGTAACGGAATCCCCCTGGCAGACCCGACAGGTGTCCTCATGACTACGGCGGCGCTGTATCAGGGGTGCCGCCGGTCGCAGAGGGAGCGTTACTACGCAGTAGTCAAAGGCAGAGACACTGGCACCGGGACGCTTTGTTTAATGCACGGCGCCTTAAAAGATAGAGGACTTGCATGGACGGCCGAGCAGCTGATAGGTGAACCTTGATAGCATAGGTCGAACACGAGCGCGGCTGAAAATGACGGCTAATTTCCCATCCGTGTCATATTTTCTGGTCTAGTCGCACCCATTTCTGCTTGCATCCCCACATGCACGCGGAGACCCGGGCGGCTTCACGCTCTGCGCGTGCGACGCAGACCAGCGATGCCGAATCAGCGCTTCCAGCCGAAGTTAATGGTGGGCTTTGGGAAGGAAGTTGATATTCCGTGCAAACTCACACGTTATTTAAAAAAAACGCCAGATCATCACGTGGGTGGGTTTCCGGATGCAAATTTGCGCTCCTCATCGGTACCATATGTGAGGCCGAAAGCTCGAAGCGAACTTGCGAGTCCCAGTCACCATAGGCGCTCGCTAGTTGCTCCTGACCGGGATGGCCTGTGGCCAGTGGCAGCCGCCGCGCTTAAAGTCAAATGACGTCATAGGCCATGACCGACCACGCGAGCATGGCGGCACGTTAAGCTTTCAGCACAAAATATGCCGTCCACCGCGAATTTCACGATCCGGCGGTGGGATTAGAGTTCAGACAGCAAGTACTCCTCAGCATGGGCGCTTATCCCAGAAATGTATTCATCAAAACGTTGGGACCAAATCCCTTTAAAAAATACTTCCCGAAATATGCGCTCAACTGATCCGGCGGCGCACCAGCTGAAAACGATACATCACAATGAGGCCCAGGGTTCTCCAGGGAGCCCTGGCAGGTTGAATATAACGTGAGTGAGAAATGCGCCAAGATCTCACCTCGCGCTACTTGGGTTCCCCGTGTTTGAACTCTACCAAGATCTAATTCCATCTGGTTCGGCCACCTCAAATCCGATACCGCCGCGAATCCACCTTTTCAAAAACGGTAAATACCATCTGAAACCATCCGTGGAGGTAAAAGTATTTCTGAGAAATAGCCGTATCAATGCGTTATCTCACACTTAATTTAACATCAGTAAAGCCACTTGCTAAAGTCGCTTGTAATAAATGAAAAAGATCCCTTCCATAGCAGTGAGCAGGGAGTCCATTGGATTTTTTCCCGTCGTGGCGACCACCTCAACTAAGATCGATAAGCTTTTCAAGGATTCCGAGAAAACCAGTAGCACAGATCAAATAAGACACGGATAATGCCGTTATGAGTACAAGCTGCAAAATGGTAGGACACCGGCTCTAAGCGCCTTGAAAATATTACAGCACACCAGTGAAGGATTCCGCTTCTTGCCGCTGAAAACTGCATGGCCACAATATCGAAGGCTGCATAGATACATCGGCCGTCAAAAGTGTGACTAGCCTGGACAGGCCAGGCCTCTGAAGCTACACAATGTCCGGTTAGCCGGCGTTAAGGCGCGCTTGACTCGCGGCTTTGCTCAGAACGAACTGTCACATGTAGCATATTTGGGCATCTAAGATTCACTAGGCTCACGATAGCGTCCCATTCATTCGGCTCGTTCAATTGCTACAGACAAGACAGTCCAGCCAGCGTGATTTCGAAGTTTCTGTATCCAGTTCAGTCCAATTCCGGACTGGTTTTTAAGGTGTGAGATCATCAAGACGTATAGAGCTCAAGCACGTGTAGGCTTAAAACGGTATTCACAATCTGATTATGCGCATTAGTCTGCCAGTGATGTTGAGATTACTTGAAGGGCTACTTAAGGCGTCTGTTGCGACGGCTTAGTGACAGCATGCGACGCACATTTCTTGAGGAGATCAGGGCATTAACGTTATCATCCAGGATGTCTTACATGACTTCACCGGACCACCATGCAATAACTCCCCCAACGAATGTACTGTGCGCATGCAGCCCGTTTGACCCGTTTGCCAACTTACGGTTAAACGAATCAACACAGATCGTTCACAAAATAATTTACTTAACGGAGTTTCGACAAATCGTCACTTTTTCCCTCCTGATGGCGCTGGGCAGAAACTCACTTTTTCTCTGATTACGCTGTTAAGCGTAGCGTCTCAAAAAGGTTACGCCCGTATGACTCCCAATTGAGCTAGAGGTGCGAACAAAGGCAGGGTGACCTTGCTACAGGGTGACCTTAAACAAAGGCTTGCCATGAGATGAAACCACCGCTATCAAGCTTCAGGGTTTTAGAGTATTTAGAATAGACTTAAGCATGGTTTGCAGCCACACTCGAGCGTAATGTTACGTTGACCCTCCCCTCCCCTTCTGACGCTTCTGTCACCGTTATAAGGTCCCGGCGGATTTGCATGCACAAGCTCAGTGGTAATTCCGTTTGGCTTATTAGCACAAGTAGCCATATTAATATAATAATTAGCAAAGGGCTTAACGCTCTAGCGGCATTAACCCATCAGATTGTAAAGCCGGAGAGCGGCCTCTACAACTCCCCCCCCCCCCCCTCTCCCGTCACAGCCACCACGCAGAAAGACTGCCCGATCCTGGCGGACCAACCCTCAGTGCCCGCAATCTCGTCTCCGGCCGCGTCCGGTCGGTCGGTGCCGGCCGTCTCGCGGCCTGTGACGTCACGTCCCGCTGCGGTGGGGAACCACGTGCGATACTGCCGGGCGGCTGCCCCACCGCGCGATCGCCTGCTGCCGGGCGGCGAGATAACTGTCGGCTCCCAGCGGCCGTGATGACTGTTGGCTCCCTGTGTCCGTGATAACTGTCAGCTCCCGGCGGCCGTGATGACTGCCGGCTTCCGGCGGCCGTGATGGCTGTTGGCTCCCTATGGCCGTGATGACTGTCGGCTTCCTGTGGCCGTGATGGCTGTTGGCTCCCTGTGGCCGTGATGACTGCCGGCTCCCTGTGGCCATGATGGCTGTTGGCTCCCTGTGGCCGTGATGACTGCCGGCTCCCTGTGGCCATGATGGCTGTTGGCTCCCTGTGGCCGTGATGACTGTCGGCTTCCTGTGGCCGTGATGGCTGTTGGCTCCCTGTGGCCGTGATGACTGTCGGCTTCCTGTGGCCGTGATGGCTGTCGGCTCCCTGTGGCCGTGATGGCTGTCGGCTCCCTGTGGCCGTGATGACTGTCGGCTCCCTGTGGCCGTGATGGCTGTTGGCTCCCTGTGGCCATGATGACTGTCGGCTCCCTGTGGCCGTGATACTGTCGGATCCCTGTGGCCGTGATAACTGTCGGCTGGCTCCCTGTGGCGTGACGAACCGCATAGCCTAACAGACGCGGATGGTGTTTGCCGTAGATCGGTAGCGAGCGGGCGCTCCTGGCCAACCCCGGCGCTTGCGCAACGTGACGCCGTAATATCGAATATCGAAAAACGACGCTGAATCGGTTACATCTGTTTCGTTTCGCACGGGCTTACGTCAGTTTATCGCACACGTCTTCCACATGAATGTTAGAAATGCAGGAAATAGGAACTGACGCGTCGGTTTTTTACAATATCGATCACAGCCGGCATTGAAATAAACACCAGATTACGTCCACTAATATTACAAGATTGGGAGAAGACATATTAGACAAATGCACAATAATGCAAGCAACCTTACCTCACCGCCGTAAGGGTAATGCGATAAAACGTGATCGTTTTGTGGTCGAACTTTAAGCTTTATTCAAAGTTGGTCTCTCCTGTTAATGCTAGACTCAATTTGACAGGTGGTGCAGGACGAAACTACCTGTTGATTTACACTACGATTTATTCCCCATAGAACAAATAGTGGTAGATTGCGCAGGCGCACACCAAGGGTGCGTAGACGGACCTTAGTCCCCGACATAGCAAATGCGGGCCACGGACATAGCACAAAACATGAAATGAGGGCGGCCCTAGAGGCCCATGCGTAGCAATGTTTACGGATAAATGTTTATTACGAATGTTTATTACACCTAATCGTAACATCGGGAGGCCGCGAGAAAAGAGAGGAAAGGCTTCCAAACCACCTTTCCTCCCCCTAGAAAGCAGCGGTCACATCCCCCGCTTCCTAAAGAGCCCCACGGAGGGCCCCCGCCAGGGTCCCTCAAAGTCTTTACACGAAAAAAAAACACTGTGTGCTTCCCTGCTACTTTGCCACAGCACCCAGCAGAACGGGCCAGTGCTCGGGTTTAGCACCCGTGGGCGAAGGGCGAAGTGGAAGTGTCACCTGAGCTGTCAGTCCCATCAGACTGCCCCGCGTGTTCCAGCGGGGTGAATGCATGACTCACATCGGTTGGCGGCTTGCACGGCGACGTCAATGCCGAAGGAGTAGAGTCCCATCAGACTCCCCAGCAGCGTGAGGAACAGCCAGTCCTCGTACCGGCCGCGCGTCTTCGCGCGGAACCAGCTCAGGCAGGAGGATCCACCTGTCGCACAGTCACGTGACAGTGTTACGTGAGCATGCGGTCGCACTGTGGCGAGCAGAAACCTATAGGGCTTTCGTTATCGCACGGACTCTTGCATGGCGAAAAACGGGTGTTGACGAATCCCAAACAATGCTCAACAAAATGTCCCACCACTCCTGGTGATGCCAGCCTGATCGTTTCCGACGAGCAGGAGTCGAATAATTAGTCGGCCTAGTGACGTCTGGAAGAGACGCTTAGCCCCCAAGGTGCCGACCATCTGGTGCCCTGGCCGATGTTAGGAATTTGGAAGGTCATGATTGAGAGCTCCTGTCTGCCACGAGGAGCTGCGTGTTGCAAATGAGACTAATAAGACTGAAGAGCACCATCCATTCCATCCTTCAGAAGTTTTTACTTTTAGCTGGGCCGTTCAGGCGGTCAGTGAAAGGCTCAACTTGAAGAGGACATTGAGCGGACGCCTGACTGGTACCGGCAGCGCGGGATGCTGGTCAGCCCCCATTGAGTCCCTCAGCTGCCCGCACATTCATGACCTCACCACAGACCAGCCGTACCAGGCTGTGTGACGCTTGAAATACGAGCTGTTTTGAAATGAGCCGTTCGAGGCGCGCGCAAACAGCCGCCATCCGGCACGGTTCAATTTCACGAAGTGCCGACATTACGGAGCGGCCTGCTGCCCCCTTTCGCAATACATCGCAATGTGCCAATCTTGACAGGTGTTCTGCTGGGAATAAAGCAGGCTGGACATCTCACGGCTAGTTTACCGGATCACACAGCCCTGACACAGCACCGTGGTCCACGATCCACAGCGACACCTCACGACCTGTGATGGCAACTCACCACATGTGGCCACAACTCACCATCTATGGCGGCAACTCACCATCGGTGGCGACAATCACCGTCGGTGGTGGCAACCGCCATCGGTGGCGATAACCACCATCGGCGGCGACAATCATCATCGGCAGCGACAATCACCATCGGTGGCGAATATCACCATACGTGGCGACAATCACCATCGGTGGCGACAGGTCAAGACCGGTGGCGACAACTCACCATCTGTGGCGACAATTCACGATTCGGGACGCGGCCCCGCCTAACAGCTCACACTCTGTGGCGTCTCGACTCACGACTCACGACTCACGAGCTGTCACGACAGTTCAAGACGTGCGGCGCCATCACACGAGCCACTCACGGTCCGTGGCGCGGTACAACCAGTCGCGGCGGCGGTGGCCGAGGCTGAGGTAGCCAAGGTCTTCGTTCAGCTCGTCCTCCACGGTGGCGTCGTCCATCGAGGTCAGCCGCTCCAGCAGAGGAGCCTGGTGCGGGGCCAGGCGCGGCTCCCCCTGCCGCACGGGAGAGACAAGGGAGATGTCAGAGGACTCAGGCACCAGACACTGCCACACCGGGGGAACACGGGAGACGTCAAGGACTGAGGCACCAGACACTGCCGCACGTGAGAGACACGGGAGACGTCAGAGGACTCAGGCGCCAGACTGCCACACCGACGGGAACACGGGAGACGTCAGAGGACTGAGGCACCAGACACTGCCACACCGGGAGAGACACGGGAGACGTCAGAGGACTGAGGCACCAGACACTGCCACACCGGGGGAACACGGGAGACGTCAGAGGACTCAGGCACCCGACAATGCCGCACCGGGAGAACACGGGAGACGTCAGAGGACTCAGGCACCAGACACTGCCACACCGGGGGAACACGGGAGACGTCAGAGGACTCAGGCACCAGACACTGCCACACCGGGGGAACACGGGAGACGTCAGAGGACTCAGGCACCAGACACTGCCGCACGGGAGAGGACACGGGATACGTCAGAGGACTCAGGCACCAGACACTGCCACACCGGGGGAACACGGGAGACGTCAGAGGACTCAGGCACCAGACACTGCCACACCGGGGGAACACGGGAGACGTCAGAGGACTGAGGCACCCGACAATGCCGCACCGGGGGAACACGGGAGACGTCAGAGGACTGAGGCACCCGACAATGCCGCACCGGGAGAACACGGGAGACGTCAGAGGACTGAGACACCCGACAATGCCGCACCGGGGGAACACGGGAGACGTCAGAGGACTGAGCACCGACAATGCCGCACCGGGAGAACACGGGAGACGTCAGAGGACTCAGGCACCAGACACTGCCACACCGGGGGAACACGGGAGACGTCAGAGGACTGAGGCACCAGACACTGCCACACCGGGGGAACACGGGAGACGTCAGAGGACTGAGACACCAGACACTGCCACACCGGGGGAACACGGGAGACGTCAAAGACCCAGGTCTGCTCATGATGGCACGGACCGATACAGACACGTGTAGAGATTTACGCATAGAGTATACGTGGAACACAGACAATGACCGAGCTGAAACACCCCGCGGCTGGACGGCATCTTCAGCTGACAATCTGGGACCGGGACACGACAGAAACCACGCCGGAACAAGCGCCTGTGTGTGTCAATCTTGACATTGAGTGGTTCTGTGGTCTCAGAATTTCTTATCCTGAACCAATTAAGTCCGAATGAAACCTATGAATGCGTTCAAATTAACCCGGAACATGCCACGTGTAGACATTTACACACAGAGTATCGTGGAAACACAGATTCTTGCTATTGTTTCGATAAAGGCATGTTGCCGAGATATCAGCTCATCTATATTTCCATTGTCCTGGTCTTTCTCCGAGGAATAAGGCCATTACTACTGTCTTATCAGACCAATACTTGTTTTAATCAAATAAGCATGCTTGTGTGATCCCGAACATAAAAGGGGTGGAATGCCACCATGTGCACGCGTATTGGAAACGATGCAATCGCTGATACGCGAAAGTGATTTTCTGAGCCAGCCGGATACACCTGCTACCTGTTAATGCCAAGCAAATCATCGGTCAGGTCTGGGCTGACTGTGAACACGTGGAGAAGCCATTCTCTGACACGACACAAATCGCACAAACACAATTTTTTATTCATTCATTTACGCATCGATTTGACACATTGTCAACCGAGTACAGTCTCCTCGGCAGGCGATCCCCCGTCTCTTATGAGTCTCCGCCCAGCCCGGCCCCGCCCCCGGTGAACCTTGACCTGCCTGCACAGGTGACGCCCGTCAATCAGGGCACCGTGTCACATGACTGCCCGCGGGGGTGCGTCGTTACGCGCCAGCTGGTGCTCGCCCACCCACCTGTGGTAGTCCACAAGGCAAAACAGCCGGCGTACCGACCGCCGGCATGGACTATGCAGGTCGCCGCCTCAGGATGACATTTGAACAGCGCGGACCAGCCGGGCTGCTCGGAGAATCCTGGCATGGCGACTGAGAACGTGCAACTCAGCTTTCTGGGCGGCGATGCGAGCCCCGGCTGGGTAGCTGGCTTATATAGGCGTTGGTGCATCTTGAGAACGCTCAGCGGCTGGGACAGGGGACGTTCTGCCATGTTAGGGTGGGGGTGGGGGAACGGGTGTTCTAATATTCAGCCATTTGGGGGAAGGGGGGTTCATGCTGTTACACCCCGGCTTGGGATCTACCGCCGGTTGGCCCTCCCCTTACTCAGAATCAGCCAATCAGCATCGAACCGGGTGGCCGTCAACCCAGCATCTAAGCGCCGTCGGCTTGACAAACGGGTCGGGCTGGTCAGATGTTTGGTTTCGGGGTCAAAGAGCAGCGCATTAGCGCCAATGAATTGTGTCGAGGGATGCCAGAGAGCCAGGATTCCGACTGCATGAATTTTTATTTACATCCTGCACACCCTGCAGGATGAATTTAGGAATGCTAGAATGCAGGCAACCATGTATTTCTTCCATCCAACGCCCAATGGGCCAACATTAGGTTATCGGAAAGTTTGTGAGGGGGGAGGGGAGTCAGCATCCCTCCCCGCTCCCCTCGTTTCCGCGTCCCTGCTCAGCAGAGGGGTGGAAAGTGGCCGCTAATCACTCGCTTCAAATTTCGCTTGTTCGTTTTCACTTGCACTCACTCCGCATAAACGAGTGCGTTCGTCTGCGGCTTCAGATACTTTTATTTCTGATTGAGTTGGACGCAAAGACATTATGTAGGTGCACAGCATTTCTTTTACTTGACGTTTCATCAATCAGAGGCGTACGCAGGATCTCACAAGGGGCACTACTAAAAATAGCTTACTGAAAACAAAGTTGAGCACGCCGCAGGGGCGTAAAATTTATCGCGGGTCGTAAAACAACATTGTAATATTGCATGTTTTGCGTCTTATTTTTGCACGCTTTGTACGCGTCATATTCAGCTGCACCATTTAGTCAAGCACGCAGTAGCACACATTCGAAATTCGGTAAGGGGAGCGGCACGTGCCACTAAAAAAGGTAAGAAACGAATTAAGACACCAAGAGCAACAACAATATCTAAATCCAAATAAAACGAATCGAGTGGCAAATTACGCACCAAGATATCAGACAAGAGAGGCGTCAAAATCACAACCGTTCTGTCACAAATCACGTACATAACTATCACAACCAATCGATTTACGCTCCGCTGATGAAAAGGTATTAGCTGTACGGATCGCCACACCCACTATGAACAGCCCCCATGCCCATCATGAACGGCCACCGTGCATTGGCGGGGCACCCGGCCCTTCGAAATCACGAATCCCACATCGCTAGATCTGGGGCATCCGAGCCGGCTACCACATCGCCGGAAACACGCCTCCTGTCATTAGCCGGACGCGAGGGTCGCGTCACCGCCGTGAGCTCCGGGCGAGGCGAGCGGCCATGAGCGCGGAGCAGGAGAGCAGGACGCCAGGCCAGCGCCGCTCTCAGCTTACGGAGGGGCGGAACAATGGTCCGCGATACGTCACCGGGTATGCTGTTTTAAGTGACCGCATGTCTCACGCCTGGTGGCCGCCCGCCAACGTGGGAGCAACGGAGCGCCGACACCGAGCGATTGGACGATACTCATGTTCTGATGTCGTGAGTCAGTACGTGGCCGGCGACCGAACGCTTAGCTCTAGTGGCGACACGGTCGAGCGGAAACTTGGGCGATTCGCAGCGCACCAACCACATTCTTTCCTACGTGACGTCACACAAAATTTTTGCCGGACGTGTTCGCACCGCAGCACGTTTTCTGTGAACACCTTCCTAACTGCCGTGACCATAGATATCTCATATCACGTAGCGTAAAATTGTATCATTTGTTAACATGAAATGCAACATATTTATTGTTATATATGCAATTAACATATTCATCAAAGTTTTAGTATATGATTAAGACGTATACGTGGCGTTACAAGGTTATGGTCGTGACAATATCCGCCCCTACAAAAACACGAGATTTTCCTTTGCGGGGACTAGGAGTACTCCTAACAGCGGGGACTTCAAAATACGCTGTTTGTGTGATACGCAAAACAAGGTGTAAAGGTGTATGACTTTGCATGGTGTAAAGGTGTAAAGCACCTTTTTATCACTCGTGGTCGGTCCTGAACATGCGAATCGCCCTCTGTAATTTTGAATACGTTGCTGCCTGTTGTTCAATTTTATATTTGAATATGTTTCACTCCGATCCAGTCGCGGGGAAAGATTTTGTGTGCGTGTGGGAAAGACTCTACGTGACGTAATGTAGAATCTTTGTAGTCCGGGTCGCTGCGAAAACCAAATGGCGCATAACATCTGGAGTATGACGTCATGAGTGCTGTGGAAAGCATAGATTCTTTGTCGTGCGGATCGCTACGCATACACCATTTGTAACACATGCGCCGCAGCAGGTCGTGGCATCGCATGCTTCTCACCAATGCGGCCAAACATGACCCAACCCTCGGCTTCATCACGAGAGAGCATTGTGGGCTCCCTGTTAAGAAGAGAAAGGCACCTTTCGTGTTCCGAGGGAAGTAATCTTCAGGATATGGTTGGCGGATTCGCGTGCTTCTGATGTAACGCTGTGATGTCACTGAGCATGTGCTATAGCAGACCTCCTACAGCCCGACTCACTGAAGTAATATTTACGGTGTGAGTGGAATATTTATTTCACAGTTATGATTTCGTATCCGTCAGCCCTCAAGTGAACCGAACGGATGGGAGTACAAGAATCCGTGCGATGCATACCAGATCGGTCATGAGCTGGGTGACTTGTCTCTCTTGTCTGGGTGAAGTCTCAGTCCAGGCTGTAGTCTTACAGTTGGGAAGTAAGGTAATCTTCATTCCCAACTTTAAGAAGGGGGCTAGTTGTGGAAAGAATACCGTCTTTGTGTATTTTTAGGGAAACGCTCGGCCACGTTCACTGCTGAGCTCCATCCCCCCCCCCCCCATTTTGCGAACCTACGCCCCTGGTTTCAGCGATGTTTGAATGAGCAAACTCGCCAGCATAATCTCATGAACCCGTGCCGCTAAAACTGCGGAGATTCGCGCCCACCTTACCACTTACATAGCCCATCCGCCTGTCCGTGATGAAAACCAAGCCGCGAAAAGTTTGCCACATAGATTTACCGTCAGCTTTCTCACTTCGAACGCCCAATCCAACAACTCATGACAACGTGCGCACGTTGTCCAGTCTCACCTGTTTGTCGCAGTTCGCCATGGTTTTGTCCGGAATCGGGAGTGATCCCACCTTGATCGCAGAGCTCTAGCTCGCGCCTCGCGCGTGCTTCCCCACGTGCGGATCACGCGCGCGCGCGCTCCACCACCTCACCCGCGTACGCCGCGACTGCGGCCGGCGACGGCTGGCGGCGTCCTTTTGCTGGCGATGTGCTCGGCGGCACAGCCGGCTGGGCGTCCGCTGCGCCACCTGCACCAGCACTGTGCACTCGGACATCGGCTTTCACGTCTAGTGATTGCGGACGATCGTGATCACGTGCAGCTTTTGCTCCTGAATAGCTGTAGTGTCCTCATAGCGCTTTGCGTCGGTGCAAAATTAGAATAGAGAGTAACAATCATGCTTTACTCTGGTGCATGACGGTGGTGTCTTTGGAGGCAACCCATCAATTACCATCGGGGCGTAACAACCTTGAAAACGCGCAGATGTCTTTGTTTGGCTGTTCAGTTTTCTCAGGCTCCTTTAGGGGACCCCATTCCGTGAAAAAGGGAGCAGACGCTTAGCATCAGAGTCTGAAGGGAGGAATCGAAACGTAAGGTACCCGGTGCTTTCACGACGCATGGTTGACCAAAGCCCCTACCTTTAAAGTGTTGCGTGCTTACACGTGTGTTGCGTGCTAACTCCTCGGTTTTGTACACGTTTGTACACCTCAGTACACGGGCGAAACGTCTGCACGAGCCGCAAGCTTTCCTTTCTTTCTGAGGGTTATCTAGCATTTGGAGAGGAAAAGCTGGCACTAGTACCCACAGAGAACCCCAGAACGCCAACAACACAAAATGCGTTCAACCTTGGAGATTAAACAGGCACCGAGCTGGCTAATATCTCACACTGGATGATTGTGCGTGCCAAAGTTTCCACACGACATCGCAAGTCATGCCATTTGTGTCGCGTAACAGGCAATAACTGGGGCGCAGTCTAGGAACAAAAATTGCACGGGGCTCAGCGTTGAAAAATGACCAAATCTATCCGCCAAAAAAAGCCTTTGAACGGATTTCTTCCCGCTTAGATCCATTTTCCCGTCAAAGTTGGAGGAATCCCCAAATGAAAAGGAACGTAACACATTTGTGATGCCACTTATCATCCATCATGTGATGACATCGAAGAGATATATCGTTGATAGACATTCTTGTCTGTATAAGCAGGGGCAATGTCGATGAGTTCATCCTAATTCTCATGAGATCCCCCAATTTTTTTCGCAGGTTCACATATTTTTCACGCGTTGTGCCCACCCTCAGCATGCATCTCGCGCCGCTATTCCATTTAGCAAAGCAGCCTTCCATCTTTTTTCTTTTTGAAATATCTTATCCGGGAGCGTTCTGCGTCATGTTGCTTTACAATAAGGGTTTGATACGCTATATGCACAGCGTTCAGTGTTGGTACGTCCTTAAGCTCTGGTGAGATTGGTTAACTGCGACTTATTACCCTTTGGCAGCACCAGAGCTGCCGCCCAGGCTGGCTCAAGCGCAGCACGGAACATATTTAAAGGGAGGGCTCCACATTTAGATGGGCTTTTAACTGAAGTGATCATTTTGAAGATCTTTTGGTGACGTTCATAATCCTGCTCTTTATCAGACCTAAGCCCCTTTAGTTTCTCAGCTACACGCCAGCGAAAATCGCGAAATGTATACCGGGGAGAGTATTTCAAAGTCACCTTGGCATTCATGACGTCATAATAACGTCATTCAAATCCTGCCAGTCTATAAGCCATGCAGCGATCGAGCCAAAAAAGGATCATTTTTGAGGCGTCCATATCTGGCGTTCGTGAGAGCGATTTCCAAAAAAAAAGCTGTCAATTGGCTCGCAATCAATGGTACGCGAAGTGCAATGACGTAATGAAGGCATGGCGCATTGAGGAGCATATTTACTAAACAGAGAGTTGTGCTGCCTAGGCAGTCTTTTACACTTAATAGCAAACCAATAGTTATAAATGATCTCGTTTCATTATATCTAATGCTTGCTTCAATATCTTTAAATGTGGAACATTCCCTTTAACTGCAGGATGACATCAGATACAAGTCAGAGAATTAACGTATTTAATCAACACCTTGGTTCGTGCACTACATCGGTCACAGTCCTAAGAGCTAAGAGCCCCACCGTGGTACAGGATAGCTCACACGCAGTGAGCCAGCAAGACGCCGCCCCATCTCCTTCCGAGAGGAAAGACGCGTATGCTCCTCAGACGAGGCGGGGTAGCGTAGATAGAACCGGGAAGATTGGGGTCCTGTCAGAAATCAGCCCAAACTGTGTTGGTGTTGTTCGTGGTGGGTATTCAATCCTATGGGTATGTGTGTTTGTGCCCACATAAGAAGAATACGGCATGCATCTGCCATCTACACAAATCTTGGCTTAATAAATTCGTCCGTTGATTCGACGAATTAACCCTGGGAAAACACGCGTTTTAATTACCGCCGCCGAGCAAGGGTTTACAGGCTCCAAGATATTTCGAAAATTAAACATCCCAGAGCTAAACAGAACATACTGTTGAGCATCAAGCATAATACAGCTGCACCGAAAGTCAAGGAGGCGATTTAAACCCCATAATCTTTGTCAAGCAACGAAAGAGACAAATTTGTTCCGCGTATTTTCTGCTGCCTATCGTAGTTTTATGATTTTTTCACGACGGTGTCCACGGTTCATGTATATTCTGCACCCTATCTGGTGTAGTATTTATTCTCGCTTAGTGAAATATCAAAAACCAAATCTGTAACCACACACCTCTATAGCAAACCTTCAGTCGAATAAATGTGTTGTCCACTACGACCTCCAGAACCTCACCTTAATCCCTCATCGCTCGATGACAGTCGAGTGTTTGTTATGTATATGTACAGTATTTGTTACGCTGTTGCTTTGTTTGGATCGGTCGTGCTTGTTATACGGTCTGCTTCGTGGCCATTGCCGGAAAATCTGAAGCGACAGATTGATTTTCCATGGTCTGGGGAATTGAGGGCAAAACTGTCCCCTGAACGTCTTCTTTTTTCGAAACACGTCTCTTTTCATTAAGATATGTCGAGACTCATAATGCCATGACGTCACGTGTAACTTCTGTGATATAGCTCTTTTTTGCATTGGAGAATTGGAGCGTCAATAAAAGATCAGCAAAAAGGGTCGACGCATGCCGTATGGGACCCCTGTGACAAGGTGTTAGTACAGATGTGAGAACTTTGGGGACTACTGGGTGATATTAGTCGTTTTCAGGAGGGGTTGTGGTGTAAAACTTTTTGAACTTTTTTAGCGTTTGCCTTTTAGCCACAACTATTTTATCAGCAGTATTTGGCTAAAAATGTTATGCACAGATTTAAAATATGCATATATAGATGCGTGATTCGAGAAATTTGCGGTTAGCTGACTAAAAGTACGACCATGCTGTTATCGACGGATATGATGTCAGATCCTTTCCCAATGAAGCTTTCCAGAACTCATTTAAAACATTTGGTGGCCTCTGACACGGACGCGACAAACCAAACTCTTACCTCATTGCAGCATCCCTGTTCATAGGCGTGCAGTACTTGCAGAGCTTACTTACTGCACTACAGTGCGTGTGGGGCAGTGGGGCAGCCGGCATTCCACGCGCTTGACCGATGCACGTTGCCGATTGTCAGCCCACGTATTTTCCTAGAATTTGGATGAATTAAAGGTGTAGCCCGAAGAAATGTCTTTAAAGGGACCTGTATAATGTAACAAACATGCTCTCAGTAGGATGAATCCGATTTACCTATTGCAGGTTTATGAAATTGCATGAGAACGATCCATAGTGTCCTTGTCAGAGTCTTCAGTATATACTTGTGGTGTACGGCAGTTGTTTAGGGCGCCTACGCGCCAGGCAAGTGGCAGTTGCGCGAGAGAGTTGGCCTGGGGTGGTGGCGCGTGGCGGGGGCGCGAAGCGCAAGGGAACCAAGCGGACGATACTACATTTGGCGACGAGTAGTGAACCACGTGGCCGACGCCACGGACAGCCTGCGTGCCCCGCCGCCATTTTTGATGGCCCCCGGCCGTCCTCAGATCCCATGGACTCAGTGGTTCAGGGAGCTCCTGATCTTCGCCGTGGCGACTGGGTGGGAGACCTGGACTGAGGAGCACCGGGAGGCCCTCATTCTGCACTGTGTGGGGCGCGAGGCTCGCCGTCTCTACTTCGCGGCGGCGGACCCGGCGCAGGGGGCGGCGAACGGGACGCAGGAGGCGGCTACCGGGACTGAGGAGGGTACCGGCTTTAAAAGTGAAGCTGTCCCAACTTCAAAAGTAGAGGCAGTGCCTACAGTCTTCAAGAAGCTGTTCCGCGAGAAGAAGGCAGTACACACTGAGCGGATGTAGTTGCGAAGATGTGTTCAGGATTACCGGTGCCCAGCTGTGCACCTCGCTCACCTGCAGGCTCTGAGTGCCAGGTGTGGCTTCGGTGAGCTGCAGGAACAGTTTGTGGGGGAGCAGTTTCTGGAGGGCTACAGTGACCTCCGGCTGCGGGAGTGCCTCTGCAGGGAGCCGACTCCCACCTCTGCACGTATCCTGGAGGTGGCTGAGGTGCTGCAGATGGAGGCGGAACGTCAGCAGCTGGTTGGGGGAGCAGCTCGGAGCCAGACATCAGTGTCCTCACAGCTGGAGGTGGCTGCTGTAGCTACTGCGAGACAGGGTGTTGGTTCCAAGCAGTGTTCCAACTGTGGTGGCCCTCATCAGGCAGCAGATCCCAGCTGTCCAGCTCGCTGGAGGAATTGCTTCAAGTGCCAAAAAAGGGCCAGTATGTCAAGTTCTGCAAGGAGCGCGCCAAGAAGCAAGTGCAGAAGAAGCAGAAGAAGGTCCAGGTGGTAGAAGTGCTGGCAGTGAACTCTGACAGCAAGCAAGGCCTGTGGACTGATGTGATGGTGAACAACCAGTGCCTCAGGATGTTGGCCAACACTGGCTCCACTGTCAGCATCCTGCCACTGTCTGTCTACCAGCAGAGGTTCAAGCACCTACCACTCCGGCCGACTGCTGTGCAGCTGGCAGCCTATGGAGGCTCAGTCCTTCCAGTGGAGGGTGTGGTGCAGGTGACAGTGCAGGCCCCAAACAGCAACAACTCCCGCGTGTCCCTGTACGTGGTGGATGCTGGTGTGCCTCTGTTGGGTCGAGACCTGCAGGAGAAGCTGAAGCTGTCAGTGATCCATGGGGTAGCAGTGTGTGCTGTCCAGGAGAAGGAGCCGTAAGAACTTCCCAGTCTCAGTGGCTTCGTGCATCGAGTGAGGCTGAAGTCAGACCGGGGAGTGGCTCCAGTACAGTAACGCCTGCGGCCTCTGCCCTATGCACTGAGGGAGAAAGTGCGGCAGCATCTCGAGAAGCTGCAACAAGCTGGAATCATCGAACCAGTGGACTCATCTCCCTGGATCTCGCCCATCGTGGTGGTAAGATGCCGGAATGGTCAGCTGAGGCCCTGCATGGACCTCAAGGAAGTCAACAAGGCAGTGGAAGCAAGCGGACATCCACTCCCCGACATGCAGGACCTGTTGGAGCAGCTGCAGGGAGCTACGGTGTTCAGCAGCCTGGATCTGAAGTCAGCATACCACCAGCTGGAGCTGCATCCTGATTCGAGGTCGCTGACAACGTTCATCATCCATCAGGGCCTCATGCGGTACAAGAGGTGCCCCTACGGGTTGAAGAGCCCGCCGCAAGCCTTCCAGAAGGTGATGGAAGCTGTCCTCCGAGGCATCGATGGAGTGCAGGTGTATCTGGATGACGTCATCATCTTCGCTCAGACACCCAGTCAGCACGAGGTGCAGCTGTCAGCCGTCATGGAGCGGCTCAGGCGACGTCGCATCACACTGAACATGTGATGAACTGAACTGAACTGGACTGAACTGAACATGGACGAGTGCAGGATGCGCCAGCGAGAGGTGGAGTTTCTGGACTTCATCGTTTCACAGCAGGGGGTGGCAGTCAACCCGGCCCGGGTTCAGGCTCTCCGAGACCTGCCCCCACCCTCAGGGCTGAAGAATCTGCGGACCATGCTGGGCCTGTTCGGCTTCTACAGTCGGTTCGTCCCGAGCTACAACACCCTGGTGGAGCCGCTGCGCCGTCTGCTGCGGAAGGGGGCGCCACCGTTCCTGTGGACGCCCGACCTGCAGGCGGTAATGGACGCAGTGCGGCAGGGCATCCTCAAGAGCCAGACACTGGCGATGTACGACCCGTTTCTGCTAGCGCTGGTCACCACAGACGCCAGCGGCGTGGGAGTCGGAGCAGTTCTCTCCCAACTCCACCCGAAGGGCGAGCGAGTGGTGAGCTTCGCCTCCTGCAGCCTCAACCCAGCCCAGAGACGCTACAGTGTAGCGGAGCGTGAGGCTCTGGCCTGCGTCTGGGCTGTCGAGAAATGGAGGAAGTACCTGTGGGGGAAGCCGTTCTTCCTCCGGGTGGACCACGCCGCCCTCAGAACTCTGATGACGTCACCGGGGGTGGGCCGAGCCGGTCTCCTGATCGCCCGGTGGGCGTCACGTCTGATGGCCTATGACTTCACCGTGGAACATGTGACAGGCGGAGACTGTCAGCTGACGGCTGTCGAGACTTCCGACGGGGGAGGAGGGCGACGTGGAAGACGACGTCGTAGCAGTAGCTGCGGTGGCCGCCCAGCTCGAGGCGGTGCAGCGGGACGAGCTGCTGTCTGCGGCCAGACGGGACACGATGCTACGTCAGGTGACACAGCAGATTCCGCGACAGTGGCCGCGGAGGCGCCGGGACTGCTCGGAGGAACTGCAGCCGTTCTTCCACTGCCGAGAGGAGCTGAGCCTGGTGGGCGACCTGGTGGTGCGCGGCCAACGAGTGGTCGTGCCTGCCGCGCTACGACCACGGATGGTAGCCCTGGCTCACGAAGGACATCAGGGAATGGTGCGGTCGAAGCAGCGAGTTAGAGACCTCTACTGGTGGCCGAAGATGGACGTCGAAATAGAAGATACCGTGAAGAACTGCGAAGTGTGTGCGGCACTGGACAAGTCGGCTAACACCCGCAGCACGCCGCTCCAACCGATGCCGCTGCTGGAGGCAGCATGGGATAAAGGCGGACTGGACTTTATCGGACCCATGGAGGCACCGAGACAGCAGCGATTCGCTGTCGTGCTCACCGACTACTGCTCGAAGTGGATCGAGGTGGACTTCTGTGCCGAGCCCAGCACGGAGGCAACGGTCCAATTTCTGGAGACGTTGGCCTCTCGGGAGGGCTACCCGAGAGAGCTAGTATCGGATAACGTGAGCCATTTCAGCTCAGAAGGGTTCGAAGCCTACCTGCGGAGCGTGGGGACGCACCACATCCACGTCACGCCCTACCACCCGGCCGGGTCAGGGGCGGTGGAGCGGGCCAATGGGACGGTGAAGGCGGCACTCCAGGCGGCGGACAAGAGCGGAGAGGGAAGAGCGCGGTATTTGCAAAAGTTTTTGCAACAATACCGCAGCACGCCGCATGCAACGACCGGAGTCAGCCCGTCCGAGCTGCTGCACGGTCGGCAGCTGTGGACAAAGCTGCACACCGCGGCTCTGAAAACGGAAAAGCAGGCCGTGTCGGAGTCAGAAGTGCGGAGACGGATGGAGAACCGCCAGCCCTATTAAAAGGCCTACGCCGACGGACGGCGCGGGGCGCGCACGCCACCATTCGACGTAGGGGACCAGGTGAGGGTCCGGCGAATGCCCCGGCCCCGTAAGGGGCGCCCGCGCTTCTCTGAGCCGCTCCGGATTGAGGCCCGCCTGGGACCGGTGAGCTGCCGCCTGGAAGACGGCACTCGGGTGCACGGTGAACGGCTGACGGCGGCGCCAGCAGATCGCCCACAACGTGAGGAGCCGGGCGCGGCTGCACCGCTGCGGCCGCGACCGGCAGCGGCAGACTACACCAGACCGGCTACGTCAGCACCCGAATCGGACGGCTCGGTGGACCTGGACGCTGGTCGACCGGCATCCGAGGCGGAGCAGTCCAAGGGGACGTCGGAGGCGGACCCGTCCGAGGAGACGCCTTCAGCGCACCAGCCAGCGACGACAGCTGCGGCCGTCTGGTCCGAGTGCTGACGGCGATCGAACGTCAGGTGGCGCTAGTGGTCAGCGGCCAGAGGGCGCAGATGTAGGCGGGGAGTCCAGCGGCGCTGTGCGTCGGAGTAACCGGAATAAGAAACCACGTGAGAGGTTGATTGTAAGTATGTAATGGGCAACGCTCTTTCAAAGCGAGGAGGAATATGGTGTTTGGCAGTTGTCTAGGGCACCTACGCGCCAGGCAAGTGGCAGTTGCACGAAAGAGTAGCCCTGGGGTGGTGGCGCGGGGCGGGGGAGCGAAGTGCGAGGGAAGCAAGCGGACGATACTACAATACTAAAACTTTTTAGACTCATCCAAGGCTATCTAACGACTAGGCTATCTAAAAGCACCTCTTAAAAAGCTTTCACTGCATTAATCCAACGTGAAAACGGCTATTGATTAAAAAGAACAATTCTCTAATGCTGACACTGACTAGAGTTAGCGCCAGTCAGTACGAGCTAGAATACCAAGCAAGCGTGAGGGGCGGTAGCATATGCTCTGTTGGGATTGTCATGTGCGCCATGGTCATCAGCGAAGGCAAATCTTAGTGAATGTTGCATGCTGACGCGATTACGAAGTGTTATGCGAAGCCAGGCAACTTTAAAGCTGTGATTTTTATATGCAGACGAATAGTTTAGGACAACAACCGATTCAGTTGATTTTGGGTCAGTTACAAGCGGTAGTTCAAGGTCAAAACAAAGCCACTCTTTGGTTGGATAATTACTTTAAGTTATGGTTTTAACGCTCATCCGGAATTCCGTGAACATAGGGCGTGAACGGACTCAGCATGTTGAAATCATGGAGGGAATGAAGGGGAGGTTACTGACCTTAAGTGACGCGGTGCGACCTTTTACAACGAAGAACGCTAATTCGTTACGCTAATTCGCTACGCCGGTTGGAAATAATAATAAAGATTATCTCGAAGGGTTTCAGTTATTTAGACGTTTTAAAGTTTGTATAAAATCACTGACCCGATGTGAACGCGCTTGGCCTTTTGCTTCAAAAAGGCGTGCAGGTTCAAGCTCTGTCTTTGGGGAATTCCACACCGATCTCGGGTTTGCCATTGTTTGGCCTTATTTGATTTGAAAATCACATTCTAGGAGCCCAGAACTTCGACACAAAGTGATTAATATGGCATGTCTCTACGAGCTTCGTGTCTTTCTTTCTTAGTTTTTGAGATCTCAGAGGGTCAAATTGACCTCCACCCGAGCGCGTCGCATTCAACCAGCCACCCGCGGGCACGTAAAAATGTATTGCTCATCCTGTCGTTAAGTGACTGCGATGTTCATAGCTGTGGCCATGCGTTGGCAAGAGCTTAATGACCTCAAGTAGATCCAAAGCTCACAACAACCTGTTCACGCCAGTATTATCGGACATACACCCAATTTTATCCTTGGTGTTTCCAGTGCTTCAAAATGGCCGGTAAATGTTACGTTACGTGGTTATTCGTCACTTCACGTTTGCGGTGTGTGTATGGATGGCAGGCGCTGTGTTGTGCTGCCTCCTGTGCAGGACATAAGCCCAGACCAAAAGCGTAGCGTGATCTTGGGCAAGTAATATTGTATGAAAAGTGATTCCGTCTGGCATATAATGCATGCATGCCTGCACAACTGAACACGCTGAATCGCTAGAGGAGTTTCAATAATCAGTGCCACGAATAAGTAGACTAAATACAAAAGCGCTGATGTCACAAACATTGCAAAGCACTTGGGACAATACTGTATGCTATTCGTATCATTCGATGTTAACTTGATAACAGATGATATCAATGTTTCATCCTGGAGTCGCTGGCTTAGGCGACGGACACTGCCCGTGTTGTTCCGGCTAGCCAGCTCGTTATCACCTTCGTCATTTCTTCGGCATCAGGATCGTCTCCAGGAGAGTCATTCTTTAGTTCTGGGCATACACTGTACAGGTCAAAGCATGTAATTTGCAAGCACGGGTTGATGGAATTGGATTGGTGGAACAGCATGGATTCGTGAAACTCGTCTTTTTTCACCGTAACATCAATGAACGGAAATCGCCTACCGAACAATATCGAGAACATGTTCGATAATTATTTGCTCTTGACTGATTTGTCAGTAGAATGCCCTTCCTTAGACGTGCTCGTGTCTCGGGAGTAAGCCACTAACCATGGAGAAAACCCGTAGCCGGGGTCTCCCAGTACCAGAAGATGGTTTTGCGTTTCATTTCTTCCAGAATGGATGAAGTGCGCGGAACGCGCGGCTCGTCAACTCCAACGGCGTGCCATCTAGTGGCCACGATCCCAATTCGTCCACAGCCATTAAAGATTACCTGCCGAATGCACGAGTAACAGCCTGTTCTGTTCGCTCATGTTCTGCGTGCAAGGTCTGTCTCTGTTTCTGCATTCGAACATGACTCGTGAGCTGCACCGGTGTTTTTTTTTTTTAAAGCGGCGGCGTTGTTTGCTTCACCTTTCCCCCCGCACGCTCGGGGAAATTGGATCCCTATTAAAGCCTTCTCCATGGTGCCGCCGAGAACATTGGGAAATGTCCTACTGGTAGTAGGCTGAGAAACCCTTTTGTCATCAGCCTCACCAAGTAGAAGGCCAGAGTCAACTGAATGCCGCGGGAATATTTTCGTGTGGTGTTTTTTTTATATTGAAACGGTTTCACTGCTTGCGTTCTATAATACTAGCATTACAATGCGACAGATAGTGTTTATCTTCTATGACATCCACTGTGCCATCTTGCTGTCGCCTGGCAAGCATCTGACAAACGACAGAACTTTCTTGCAAACACCGCCAGCTAGGTCTAGCTCAGTTGGGAT